CTTAATACAGGTAGTTCTTTCCCTTGATACACGAAATCTTTGTACACAAAGTACTGTACAAAATGTAAAGTTATAATGACAGCTTGAAAAAGGCAAAGGAATAAAATTTGAAGGCCACTGTTTTGGGGGAAGGTGTCTGTGTGTCTTTTTAATCATAGCTTGTTTATCTGCCTAAAGCTGAGATTTCAGGATCTTTATCGATTTTTATCTTTATCAGAAATTTCCACATACGTATCAGCCACGATCAACTCAAGTTGGACCTTCTTTTAAATAATTTAAATTCTGAGCAGGCAGGATTCTTTTCTTCACTTTGGAATGTTGTTTAAATGTTAAGTAACTTCCAAAAATGGTTTTATCTGGTGTAAAAGATCATGTACTTTCACAAAGAGGCAGAACAGTCTTCCATTTCAGGTGTGAATTGTGATCTACTTGGGAATCTCAGTTCTTGACCCTCTTGGTCTTTGTGTCTTAAGAACTTGTTTTCTATTACTTGTGTTATTTTTGCAGCCCTAGAAATTGCACTTTTTCAGCCCTGAAATATTGTTAGAAATAAGGGAAGTAATAACTTACTGAAAACTAAATGCCTTTATATCACCATCAGTAAAAATCAACAGGATTTACAAAGCAAAATGAGAATGTAATGTAATTACTTTATCCCTTGAATTGTGCTAAAGTATTTTCCAACTTGCAAGATCAACTGTAAAGGTGCAGTAATGAAAAGAGAATTTATGCATCACAACTTTTACAGGTGCAGAACTAGATGCTTGAATATTACTGTGTGGGTGTATGCGTCAACACATTTGTAACATGTATAGAGTCATTCAGATTATATAGAAACAAAATTTACCACAAAAGAAATAGGATAAAAATACGTACTTTTTTTCAGCAGAAATAATATGGTCTGCAGCCATTTAAGTTACCATTTGCAGATTTTATGGGTATTTTTTTAAGCAGTCTGATTGTTAAAAGTGTTAATAATGAACTGGGAGCGATAGCTGGATCTCTGCTTGTACGTAAGGCTAAGCACATATGGGAGCAGCCTGACAGGTTATGTGTTAGCCAGCCATAACTAATGAAGAAAATACAAAGTCTGAGTTAGTCTGCAGAAAGCAGTGTATAAACTAATTGATCTGTTCTTTCCAATGTCTGTCTTCTGATGTTTTATGTTATCATTAGGTAAATAAGAATTTCTGAAGCATGCCATTAATGAAATTTTGTTTCCCAATGTCAGAAATAAAAGCTGTGTCCAAACAGTTCATTAAGACTTACTCCAGATCACTTTTTGAGTAATTTACTCTGGAAAAAAAAAAAAAATCCATGCTCTGATTATTCTTCTAGAGAAAGTGAACAGCTAGGACCTGAAACTGGAGGCTTTATGTTGCTACATCTTCAATTTAGAATATTTATACATATTCATTCAGCTTTCTAATGTTATATAGATATTTAAAGGAGATTTCTATATGAAAAAATGCAGGTGGGTACTTCAGAAAATGGCTAGCATGAACTGCAGTAGCTTAGTTGCTTCCTGCATAAGAAACAGTTGATTAGCAAACACCCTATGAAGGGTACTTGAAACCAAAGCAAGTTTCAAATAAATCATGCTGTCTCACTCCCAAGATGGTAACAATGGGACAAACAAAAAATTGTTTTAAGGTTTGAGGGAATGTGCTTTGTGGATTTGGGTTTGTTTGATTGTTTTTTAAATAACTGAACAACTTTCAACTGTAGAATTTTACTAATTTTACAGCTGGTTAAGGGAAGTGAAAAAAGAGGGTCTTCCATAATAATTTAAATGCAGTAACTGTTCCGTGCACTGCACAGAAACTGTTGTGCCCTGAGTAAGGGAAGTGCTTTCCTTCAGATACCTGATAACTGGTATAAATATTGAGGGCGTTTTGCTCACTTCCCCCCACCCCATTAGGAGGACAATCATTGCCACACACGGGGTATTTTTACTGAAGCGTGTACTTCAGAAGTGGTGTTGGGTTTACTTCATGTCATTACGGACCAACATTGTAAATGGGTGGCAACGTGAAGTTAGTACGCTTGTCAGATGTTCTGCATGTCATCTTGTACCAGGCTGCCCCAGTCAGTGCTTGTAGGAAGGTCAACTGTTTGAATTGTTAGAATGTGTGGTTTATTATTAAATGGTGGTACCTCTTTAGCTTGGGAACAAATAGAAGTCTGCCTTGAGAAAGACGAGAATGCTGCCACTAGGCTATCTTAGCACCTTACATTAGTACATAGTCTCCTTTTATGACAAAAAGCTTCAAAATTATGACCAGTTTTAACTTCCCTGTGAGAGTCCTTTCCTCAGGCTGTCTCTCTAAGGGATGATTTCATAGCCCCGTCATCATTTCTGTGGTAATATTTAATTGCTCCACACTTTGTGTGAAACAAGAGGGGTAGGTCTATACCACAGTCTAATGGTTTATTGTCAGTCAATCATTCTGATGTGCCACCAAGTTGGTAGGTGAGCAAGACAGTTTTTACAGTGTTAAGAAATGAGTCCTAAAGCTCCCTGATATACTTAAGCCCTACAGAGAATCAAAGGTCATGGGATGTGGTATAATTCGGAAAGAATATGCATAATATTTTGAACTTGGGCTTTATTTAGAGTATTAGATAATTTTCTTAGTGGTAGGCAGATAGACCTTGATACTACGCTGTTCTAAGGGGGAAGGTGGTGTAATTTGGAGTGAGTGATTTTTTGCGGGTTTGTTTTGGTTTGTTTTTTTTTTTAAACTGCTTAATTCTACACGAAAGAAAATCATTGCTGTACTCAGGACTGCATGGCTAGAATAGTAACTAAGTTTTACTTAAAGGGAACCTTTAAACCATAGGGAACTAATTTACATCTTTTTCCATTCGAAGTCCTTGGAATTTAAGGAAACAGTAATTTTGAGAGGTATTTCTCTAATAAAATCACTTCAGGAGTGAGAGATCCTAATGCAATGGAGTAGCAAATTACATGGTGGTGGTGATGTTCAAAAAGTCTAATTGTTCTAGTTCTGTGGTATTGGCTTTGTTTATGTTTTGTAAAACATCTCACTTTATGAAGTGGGGTCAAGGGGGAATAAAGTGGCCAAACACTGTTTTTGTGAGAAATGACAAATTACAAGCTCGATTACTTAAGCTGACTGTAAAGTATGACTTTGCTCCGTTTATCTTGTTCCTAATGCAGTCATCTGAAAGAAGAAAAAGAGACACTGGTCACTTAGAGTAGGTGATGTTGTTGATTTGTGCGTCCTGGAAGATGAACTCAGGACAGCGTAACACAGAGAATTTCCTTGGTTTTTATTTAACTAGTAGGATTGGGGTGTGAAAAGAGTATCGCCATTTCATGAGGTTATGGTTCTAAGTAGGTTCCAATGTAATAGAAGATAGTGGTGGAGTAAACCCCTTACAACTTGCTTTGGCTTACTATAGCTTTGCAGAATCTTGTGAAATCACTTAGGGAAGACAAGGCACTCGCTGTAGGACCCAATGCATGGAGATGTCTCCTGCTTGGAAGCGGGTCTAATTCACGGCATGCAAGGAGGATGCTCGGTCGCGTTTAGCACCAAACGGTTTAGTAAGGCCTGGTTTTGTTACCTGAACTACATGGAGCTGTGATTACTTCTTCCCCGCCGAAGTTCAAGCCCAAGGCTGACTTGACTCTGGCCTTTCTCTCTTTGCTCATTAATAAAGGCCTTTCGGGATAAAATACCTATTTATTTGAGGGCCGCTGTCACTCTGACCGCAGGCAGGCCGGGAAGGAGAACCAGGCCGGGAGGGCT